GATATGGTGTGCACTGTGGGGTTCTCAGGGTCACAAAAGATAATAGTGTTACTCTAACGTACTTAGACTTCTGTAAGGCATTTGACTTAATAGTGTATGACATTTTGATTTAAAAAAACCTAGAAAGATATAAAATTAGCATGGTACCCATTAAATGGATTAAAAACTGGCTAACTGATATTTCTCAAAATGTAACTGTAAACGGGGAATCATTATCAAACTGGTCTGTTTCTAGTGGGATCGGTTCTTGGCCCCTATGCTAATTAACATTTTTATTAATTACCTGGAAGAAAACATAAAATCACCACTGATACAGAGTGCAGACACAAAAATTGGGGAAATGATGGTAAATACTGAAGAAGACAGGTCACTGATACAAGCGAGCTGGATTGCTTTGTAACCTGGGGTCATGCAAATAATGTGCATTTTAATATGGCTAAATGTAAATATATACATCTGGGGGGGAGGGGGAATGTAGGCCGTACTTACAGGACGGGGAATTCTATCCTGGGAAGCAGTGACTGAAAAAGATTTGGGGGTCACAGTGTATAATCAGCTGTGTGACGTTGTGCAGTCTATATGGTTTTATAAAAACATGATAATAAGTGAATATAATGTAACTGGACTATGCTTCATGCAAAAGGTCTCTTGTAAGGTATCATTACAAAGCTTATAATCTACTGAGTGTGATCATCCTATTTGTATAAATGTACCACTCTCATATCTAAAACTAGAAATATGAAATATAACTCTGAGGGCCTATTGTAATTATGCAAAGTGTGGGCCATTAATGGTGGTTTGGAATCTTGATGACTCCCATTAACCAGGACCATTGTCTGCAGATGGCTGTGTTTACCTGTGAGTCTTCCTGTATATGTGTGTGCTGGCAAGTGGGTAATGAAGTCTTGCAGTGACATGTGATCATGTCACCTGAACTGGAATCCATCCTTAACCTGGTGCTTTTCCAGTGGGGGGGGGGGGGTGTGTGTGGAAACCCAGAGGGACAAAGGGTTCCCGCCTTATGCAAAAGATATATAAAGGGGTGGAACAGAACAAAGAGGAGAGAGAAGAGCCATCATGAAGAATCCCCTAGCTACTACCTGAGCTGGAACAAGAGCTGTACCAGGGGAAAGAATTGTGCCCAGGCCTGGAAGGTGTCCAGTCTGAGAAAAAACTTACTGAAGCATCTCTGAGGGTGAGATTATCTGTATTCAGTTTGATTAGACATAGATTTGTGCATTTTATTTTATTTTGCTTGGTGACTTACTTTGTTCTTTCGGTTACTACTTGAAACCACTTAAATCCTACTGTCTGTATTTAATAAAATCACTTTTTCCTTATTAATTAACTCAGAGTATGTATTAATACCCGGGGGAGCAAACAACTGTGCATCTCTCTCTATCAGTGTTATAGAGGGCGAACAATTTATGAGTTTGCCCTGCATAAGCTTTATACAGGGTAAAATGGATTTATTTGGGTTTAGACCCCATGGGGAGTTAGGCATCTGAGTGCTAAAGACAAGCACACTTCTGTGAGCTGTTTTCAGGTAAACCTGCAGCTTTGGGACAAGTAATTCAGACCCTGGGTCTTTGTTGGAGCAGACGGGAGTGTCTGGCTAAGCAAGACAGGGTGCTGGAGTCCTGAGCTGGCAGGGAAAACAGGAGCAGAGGTAGTCTTGGTACATTAGGTGGCAGCTCCCAAGGGGGTTTCTGTGATCCAACCCGTCACAAGCTGAACATGAGCTCCTAGTGCGACTCTGGCCAAAAGGGCTAATGTGATCCTGGGTGCATTAACAGGGGAATATCGAGTAAGAGCAGAGAGATTATTTTGCCTCTGTATTTGGCACTGGTGTGACTGCTGCTGGATTACTGGGTTTAGTTCTGGTGTCCTCAACTCAAGAGGGATGTTGATAAATTGGAGAGGGGTCCGAGAAGAGCCACAAGAATGATTAAAGGATTAGAAAACCTTCCTTACAGTGACAGACTTAAGGAGCTCAATCTATTTAGCTTAACAAAGAGAAGGTTAAGGGGTGACTTGATTACAGTAAGTACCTACATGGGGAATATTTGATGGGCTCTTCAATCTAGCAGAGAAAGGTCTAACATGACCCAACGGCTGGAAGTTGAAACTAGAAAAATTCAGCCTGGAAATAAGATGCAAATATTTAACGGTGAGCACCATTAACCATTGGAACAACTGACCAAGGGTCGTGGTGGATTCTCCATCACTAGCCATTTTTAAATCAAGGCTGCATGTTTGTCTAAAAGAGCTGCTCTGGGAATTATTTTGGGGAAGTCCTATAGTCTGTGTTCTACAAGAGGTCAGACTAGATGGTCAAAATGGCCCCTTCGGGCCTTGGACTCTCTGACCCACTGCTCTGACTCCCTCTGGCCTGTTTCTCTTGGTCCTTCTCTCCCACCGCCGTCCCTCTCATAGCTCTGCTCTTCTCCACCTGTTCCATCTGCAGGGTCCTGTCCCATCTCTCCTCGCCAACTTCCCAGCTCTCCCGTGCCACTCCCCACTTCCCATCTCCATTGCTCTGCGTGCATTCTGCACCGGATCCCCCTCAGCCACATCCCACTTCATAGCCTTCCCACTTCTGAATTGAAACCCCATGCAGGAGTGAGAGGGTGGATACCATGGCTCTCCCCACAGGACTGACTTTGGTGAGCCACTGAAGGTGGCCAAAGCAAGCCACAGCAGAGGCACTAGCCCACCACACCCCTCCTGCAGAGACCCTGCAGACTCACGCGCTGTCTGACATCTTTGGATATGTCTGTACTGCAGCAGGAGGTGTAATTCACAGTTTGGGTAGACATACACAGGCTAGCTTTGGTTGAGCTAGCACGCTAAAAATAGCAGCACACCCAGGGCAGCACAGGCTAGCCACCTGAGGACTTAGGGACGCAGATGGGATTGTACGTGGGCAGCTAGCCTGAGCTACTGCCCATGCTACCGTGGTTACACTGCTATTTTTATCATACTGCAGTGAACCAAGCTAGTGTGTGTACATCCACCTGAGCTGGAAACTGCACCTCCCCGCTGCAGTGTGGACAGACCCTCTGCGGCTGTTCTGTTCCGTTGATACGACCAGCTCACTGCTGCTCGAGTCCGTGTGCTGGAGTGTTGCAGGACTGGCTCTCCCTTGCTGTTATTTACACTACAGGCCAAACCAAATGCAGTGATTGGAATCTTTTAAAAGCAGGTTGTTTTTTCTGGTGCTTTGCTCTCCTAATCTAGCACCTGGCTGCTCCAAGAGCCAGTTACAAGGGTTTGGTGTACAGGGAATCACTCACCAAGCAACCATCCCTACTGCTCAGGGAAAGCTGCAGCATGGCCCCTGAACAGGGAGGCCTGGGGAAAGAAACTGATCTGACAGGGTCAAGTCACACAGTGCAGGATCTGGGTCCGAATGATCACAAAGGCCAGGAGTGTTCAGGTCCTAGGTTTGACCATGCTTCTCTCTCCGGTAGTAATATGAACAGAGACTATGCTCCCCTAAGTGCAGGTGCTAGTGTCTGCAGGATGAGGTCTGCTGGGCTGAGCTGAGCTCTGTGTATGGCCTGACTGGCTGGGCAGGCAGTGCTTTGAGATCCTTGGATACAAAGTGCTAGCATGCCAAGCACTGCTGTTAATAGTAGTGCAAAGCACTGTGCCGGGTGAAACTGGACACTGCTGGGCTGGAGGGCAGCGGGGCACTTCCCACACTTTCTCCAATACAGCATTTAGGAACATGGCCAGTGGGAGGACCATCAAAGGGTCATGGGAGAAGACTAAAGGAATGACCCATGTCAAGCTCTGATTGCTATCTGAGAGAGCCTGACAGTGCTACCCATTTTTCCTCCCTTTGGCTTGGGTGAGGATGGTACCTTCTGGTTGGCATCTACTTGCCAGCTGGAGTACAAAGGAATTATTCCCTTTTGAAATGCGTCCCTGGTATGTGGACATTGCATTTTTCAGGGGATTATTCAGACTAGTAGCAACTGTTTGTGACAGAGACGCTATAGCCAGTAATGCTTTATTTTAAGTATCTGTTGACTAATGTTGAATTACAGAGGGGAGCCTATGGAAAACGCAGGTGACATCTCCCGGAATGCAGAATGAATTCATTGCATTCCAGTCAGTTTCAAAGAGCGGCAAATGTTTTCCTAATGAAAGGCCACTCACAATAAATAGCTCTCTAGCATGGACTCTGGGTCAAGCTGCACCTTCAAATCTATTCACAGGGGTCCGCTCTTCTTGTGGCCAGTACATTCTGCATCCCCCTTCCTTCAGCTCTCACCCTCACCTCTATTATTGATCCAGCAGACACACACCAGCTAAACTCCAATTACTATGCAAGAAACTGAACGTGGAAATGACCCTTTATAATTTGCCACACGCAAGTGGCTTTTCAAATATAAATGTTCTGGGCTAAGCTTCCCCCCCACCCCCACCCCCACCCCCACCCCCATCCCAGCCAATATATTTATAAAAGGTCACTTTCCTTGAGAATTTTATACTGTTCACATCTGTTCCAAATACTGCTTCTGCTGGGGTGAACCACAGGGGGCAGAAGGGTTCTAGCAAAAGGCAAGACCCAGAGGGAACAATTGCTGGTATGACTTACTGGGGCTAAGAGCTACTCGACAGTAATCTCCTAAATACTGTCCATGTAATATAAGATATTTTCTCCAACAAACACCTGTTTGCATACGATTTATTGATAGGAGCATTAAAAGCAAGATGGCACCAAAGATGGTTTTTGATGCCCATGGATCAACAGGGATAGCATTAAAATTCATTTATAATAGCCTCAAAATAGAGATTTTGTAACATGCTGGGACTCCATATGCAGCATGGTATTAGTAAACAACTGAGTTTTACTCCACATCACACACACATATGCAGGTGTGAGTGTAAGCACACACACATATTGTGTAGGCACATGTAGGCTCTTTTGAGGAGAAGAACAGAATCAGCCTCAGATAAAACTGACTGCTAATGTTCTAATCATTTAGAATTGCAAGTTTCTGCCTCGGGGGGCACTGAAGATGTTGCCAACTTTGTTGAGAATCCCTTATCAGCTGGAGACCGGAGCCTAGAGGGGAACAAAGGGGTACTTTGCCCAGACTCTGTACCTCCTGAGAAGACTGTTCTCCTCCAGCCTGCAGACAGCAATGAGGCAGCAGCCCAGGAAAGGAGCGGAATGCCACATGACTGTGGTTCCAAGACAGGTGCTGATATAAATATCCCTGTTGATGGCTCGAACAATGAGAGCCAAGAGGAGGACAATGACATGAACGTTGCTAATGCTTCTTCATCGGTTTCAGAATGTGACACTGCCACAGGCAGCAATGCTGATGGAGGTGAGATTGTGGCGAGAGAGCCAGAGCCAGCAGAAGGGACTCCTCTCCCAGGGGAAGACACGGAAGAGCTGCTGGCCAAAGAACAGCCCGGAGGCAGCAGGAGCGAAGCTGCAAAGGACAGCAAGGAGGAGGGGGAGCTCCATGCGGCAGGGGTGGAGATCAGTCTGGAAGAGGCTGGGAGTGAAGAGGACAGGCAAAACTCTCCTCCCGCCACAGCAGGGAGTTTTGAAGAGAGCACCCGACTGCCTGCAGAGGAGAGGCAGGTTTCCCAGCGTGGTACAAAGGCTCTGGCTAGAGAGGAGGTAGCAGCAGCAGAGCACCACTCAGGGCCTGATGATGGCAAAGATGCTGCTGAAAAGGAAAGCGAAATCAGCGAGGCCTCCCAGAGGAGCACGCCACCCTCGCCGGCCAGCGGGGAATCGCCCCCTCAGGGAGATGCACATAGCGCTGAACCTGCTCTAGCAGAGCCAGGAACTCTTGAGGAAGAGGGGACACAGCCGGAAGAAGGCTCTAAAGAAGACAAGAGCCGTATTCCACATGCCAGCCAAGGTGCCGAATCTCACGTGCAAGGTAGGAATCATGCAAACAAGCAAGACAAAGAAGTCTCTAGCTCAGAGACCAGTCATGTCTCTGGGGACCCTCTCGGGGGCAATGGACTAGCTGTAAAAGAGAAGGAACCTGATTCAGGCAACAAAACTGGTGACAGTCCTGAGGGGGAGACCGCCACTGATGGCCAGCCAGCGGAAAGGGACCGAGAGGAACCAGGCACTGCCTCGGCTGAGGGAGTGGGAGAAAACCCTAACTTGGAAGCAGAAAAGTCTGAAGAAAGTTCAGAGGAAGAGGATGATGACCAGGAAGAGTCTGAGGAAGAGGGTGATGACTCAGCAGAGGAAGAGGGTGATGACTCAGCAGAGGAAGAGGGGGCTGGCCTGGCAAAGGAAGAGGGTGGTGATCCGGCAGAGGAAGAGGGGGCTGGCCTGGCAGAGGGGGTTGGCCTGGCAGAGGAAAAGGGTGGTGATCTGGCAGAGGCAGAGGGTGGTGATGAGGCAGAGGGGGCTGGCCCAGCAGAGGAAGAGGGTGGTGATCCGTCAGAGGAAGAGGAAGAGGGGGCTGGCCTGGCAGAGGCAGAGGGTGGTGATCTGGCAGAGGCAGAGGAAGAGGGGGCTGGCCTGGCAGAGGAAGAGGGTGGTGATCTGGCAGAAGCAGAGGAAGAGGGGGCTGGCCTGGCAGAGGAAGAGGGTGGTGATCTGGCAGAGGCAGAGGAAGAGGGGGCTGGCCTGGCAGAGGAAGAGGGTGGTGATCCAGCAGAGGCAGAGGAAGAGGGGGCTGGCCTGGCACAGTCAGAGGAAGAGGCTGAAGAAGTCATTGCCCCAGATGTCCGAGAGGCTGCTAGTGACATGGAAGACCATGGCCATGTCAAAGAGGAAGAGATCAGTGAAGTGGAACCTGAGTCTGATTCTGCAGGCCAGGAGAATGCACCCCGCAGAGACATGGAGCAGGACAAAGATCGCTCTCACAATAGTAACCCAGCTGTAGCAGGAAGCCTTTCTGTGGATGCGCAGTTAGTGGCAGAAACAGACAGCCCACCTGGCAACAACCGTCCTCCTGCTGGTGCTGTGCCTGACCCCAGACAAATAGGTCTGACTTTTTTGTTACTAGGCGTGCCAGTAGTAATAGCCTAACAGCAAAGGGCATTGGTTAGTGAACCACTATCAAACCCAGAGCCGCTGAGCTTGGCAGACATTAAAATGCACCCAGTGCACGGCCCTCGTTCTAACGCTTGTGCTTTCAGTGTGTGACCCTAACCAACTGCTCAGACCGGAGATCCCTGTCCTGCCAAAGCCAGGAGGGGTGGCATTGGTGATATGGGGTGGTCATGGGCTGCGGTTGGTACTTGGTAATGGGAGATGAAGGCTTTCACCCCTTGGGCATTAGGCTGAATTAGTACAAGGTCAACAGTGACTATCCATTGCCATCTGACAGCTCTGCCATGGCCTGCATGAAATGAAGTGTTATGTTCCCTCCCCATTTCCCAGGAACGGGTTGTCCAGCTCCACCCCAGTTAGCACCTGTTGGGAGTCTCAGTAGAGATGCCAAGGACTCCATGGGCCATGGCAACTGAACTCCTCTCTCAGCACTACAGGTGGTCCCTCCAGGATGGGGCACATTGGCAGGGGGTGAACTGGGCAAAGGTTGGCCTGGATCTGTTCTGCGGATAAAAACAGACATCCATGTCCAGGAGCCAACATGGCCCCTTTCACCAGCATTGAATTCATGTCCTAATACTTCTAAAGGCAAAGGAACCTGGTTCTTCACAGCTCCGTGCTTTGTGCAGTCATTGATACCAGTGCAAAGTGAGTGCTAACATTCTGCTGTGATAGTGATTGACACCACTTTGTACCAATGGGGTAGTCCTGAATGGACATCTACCGGAATGTCCCTGCCAGTGTGACCTCACAGAACAAAATGGCATGCTCCATGCAGGAAATGGACCAGGACACTGTTCTGCTGCAATCCGGTCCTAATGCACCAGTGCTTTGCACTGGCGTAGATGATTACACAGGCCCTGAGACAGCAGAGAGCCAGGTCCAAGGAATACAAACACTTTGAAATACACCACACCTTTCACACAACCTGGCAATTTAAGAGTCAGCACAGACAACACAAGAGAATTGGATCTAGACTGGGTGAAGTGTCCAGCGTACACCAGTTTGCAAACTAAGGGGAATGAGCTATCCTGAGAATAGCAGGTTAGAACCCTGAGCCTTCGCTTGGGAAAACAACAAGGAGTCCGGTGGCACCTTAAAGACTAACAGATTTATTTGGGCATAAGCTTTCGTGGGTAAAAAACCACTTCTTCAGATCTGCTAGTCTTTAAGGTGCCACCGGACTCCTTGTTGTTTTTGTGGATACAGACTAACACGGCTACCCCCTGATACTTCGCTTGGGAGTCACTCATGCTCCCCCTTAGTGATAATCCCTTCCAAAGATGTGAATTCCAAGGGAATTCTTAGATAAGTTTTAACACAGTCCCCAGATTGCATTATTGTTTCAGAACTCTCTGAGCAGTGCTGGGATTGTTTTCCCCAGAGTGCTGGGAGGGGAAAGGTGGGTGGATGAACTGGGCATTCAGATTAATGCCAGATCATGAAAAAAGGAGTCCTAGGTCCTGTTCCTGCAATGTGCAGCTCATGGGCAGAATGCAAACCCAGGCAGAACCCCATTGACTTCAGCAGCGCTTGGTGTGGTCACTGCCACCCGCTCTCACGCTACATAGTGCAGGATCGGGGCCCTAGATTTTCCCAGGAAGCCGGCAGAAAGCTGGTAAATTTCCAAATTGCACAGACCGCACGCTCCAGTCAGTCACAGGTGAGTTTGTGGGTGAACAATGAATAATTATCCGTCCCATATTTTCTTTGGACCTACTCATGAAATCTGTCACATAAATTTTTCAGCCTTTGTCACTGATTATCTTACATGACGAGGAGAAACCCCACCCCCCGCTCCCCTCCCCTTGCTTAGTGCTGCGCTGTCACATACGGACCCACTGAGCGGCTGCTGGTGCCCAGATGTAACCAGAGCTGAGTCTCTGTGGCTTTTTTTGGCAAATCCAAAAGACCTTTCTTTGCATGATGTGTGTGCGCTTCAGTTCAGGTTCTCAGGCTAGTGAGGAGCGTGAGAACGAGAGCCGCCCATGTGGTGAGTGGTGGCCCTATTCCCAACCCAACAGGATGGGCTGGGAAGATGTTTGGTCACAGAGCTGTTTGCAAACCATTCTTGAGCCTAGGGCCCAATCCTGCACTTGCTGCTTTCAGAGGGAGCTTTGCCACTGACATTAATAGGAGCTAATGCATCTATAGAGGTCAACATACCTACAAGGCCAGACACACACCCCTGTGTGATACATCCTGCTGCATACACTTTGAGCACTAATATTCATATTGACATTAAGTGGAGATCTAGATATATAGCCCTATTCTGTTCCAAGCAGTTTGTCTTGTGCTACAGCCCTCTCCCCTAGACTGATGTAGTGTTATTATTATTACAGTAGCAGCTAGAGGCTCCAACCAAAAGCAGTGCCCCCATTATGCCAGGTGCTGTACAAACACATAGGAAGGGCCAGACCCTTTCCCAATGAGCTGATAGTCTAAATGGCCAAAACAGACAAATGGTAGGGGAAGGGAAAGATTATTTTCCCCATTTGAGAGATGGAGAAACTGAGGCCCAATGATGTGAAGTGACTTGTCCGAGGTCACCCACGGATTCTGTGGCACAGCTGGGAGTTGAACCCGGGTGTGGCAAGTGGCAGGCCAGGGCTGTCCGGCAGGGCCACGTTGCCTCATCCAGCGCCCTCCGTCGTCAATATCAGCACATTTCACTTTCACTTTTGGTTTGTAAAGAGTGGACGTTTAACTCTTCTGCAGATAGATGCCTGGGTGGAGAGACAGGGGGTAGCCAGACTAAAGCCAGGCCTTAGCACTATTGCTATGAAAGAGTTGTAGTTCGGGTCTGACCAGCTGCAGGTGAAGACATATTGAAATCTTTCTGCCCATATCAGTGCCAGGGCAGGGACTGCTATCCAGCAAGCTGGCATGTGCAAGTTGAACATATTGCTTAATGGTTTTCTTTATTATCAAGCATCCCTTTCAGATGAATATTTTGCATTCATAGTATTGATGTCAAGCTCTTATTTCTTAGTTTGCCCAGGGGCATGGTGGAGTCTCCATCACTGGCCATTTTTATATCAAGATTGAATGGTTTTTAAAGATGTGCTGTAGTTCAGAGGGAGTTATTCTGGGAAAGTTCTATGGGCAGGTGTGATACAGACGAGATGATCAGAATGGTCCTTTCTGACCTTGGAATCTATGAATCTTTAACTTTCCAAATCATGAGGAACATGCCAACAGGACTAAGTGGGTCAGTTGCTGGTCTCTCTCCAGAACCAAATAGAAAGATCACCACATTGCAAAGCCGTAATCATAATTGAGACCAACAGACACCTCTGTTGGGAGCCTCAGCAAAGTTTTGCGAGAGAGGGAGAGAGGGGGGAGGGAGGGAGAAAGGAGTGTCTGCAATAAAAACAGAGCGGTGAGCCAAACCCATTAATGACTTAGCCATTCAAAGATTCTTCCCTGGCAAGGGGGTTACAGATGCTTCTCAGCTCCCTCTGTGGCCAGGAAGTCACTCACCATGTCGTGCTGTGGTTTGCGTGCTCTTCCTAGTCTTGTTTTCAGACATGCCTAATGGGCTGTTTTCCTTTTTCTCCAGAAGAGACAGAAGATGTTGGGGAGACTGCCAAGAGGGACCGTTCCCATATAGAGAGCACCCTTAAACTGAGTGAGGCTAAACCTGCAGATGACTACTCAGGTAGGAGTGTGGCAACGGGCGTGCAAAAAGGGGGCGGGGTAGGAAATACACTCAGGAAGCAAGTAGATGGTTGGGTGCAGTGGGGGCCCCAATCTATTGCAGACATACAGCCTGGGATTTGGGGAGATTCTGTGGCTTCTGGGGCCAGGCCGTGGGAGATGGCCATTTATTGAGTAGCCTCTAAGTGCAGGCTTGTTACACATGCATAACAAGAGGAGAAGAGCCCATACTCCCACCTCTGAAAGACAGAATCATGCAGTTAAACAAAAAGCACTAGTGGCAATGTCTTTTTTTTTTTTTTTTTTGGTCTTAAATCTTGTTTCTTACAAAGCTGGTAACTTTTCACATTCTCCTTCAGTTTCTTGCCTCTTAAATGCTTACCTTTCCCCTGGATTTCCATAGTTCCGATAGTGCTAAGATGTACACATGGGGTGCATAAGAAGGAAGTTCAGATAAGTCTGGAGAGCCACAAAAATAAGAACAGACATAAGCTCCCCTCAAAGCCAACCCAATCCAGCCCAGCCCTGAACATTTATTGAGGAGCAAAAAAGTTTTGAGCAACTTTTAAAGTTTTATTTTTCATTTTTGAAACTTATCATTTGCTGCTGCTCTCCCCTGTGTCCGCTGGGACTAGATGAAGAAGCACCAAAATACTGTGGGAAGAGCTGTTCCTGCCACTCTTCTGGCCTGCAGAAATGAAGATGTACTGGGCATGTCATAGAAAGCCTGTTCTCACTGGCACCCAGACACTACAATGAAGGGCCCTTTAGGAATTTGTGTATCAAATATTAAATAGTAATGAATCTTGTGATTTCTTACCCAATGTACCGATACATTTGCAGGTTTGGAGAAGGCTGGGGAAAGCATCTGGAGTGAAATCCTGGCCATAATGATGCCAATGAAACTTTTGCCAAAGAGATTAATGGGGCCAGGATTTCACCCCTGAACTTTTGGGTACTTATTTGAACCAACCCTTTAAACCTATTGACGTTCTCCCATCACTAATGGAAAACTAGAGAAAGTTCTAAGGCTTAAGAGGGGTGGGAGGTGGGAGTGGAATCACGCCAGAACCACAGGATTGCTTCTTGTGTGTCTTTTATGGGTGATTCCACAGAAGCAAATCAAAACTGAACAATGGCTACAGCCAGGCAGCAGCTACCTCCCAGTGAACAGAGGTTAATGCCACCGGCACAGCTCATGGGACAGGCCGGGAATCTGCCATCCCTTCTCTAACTACAGTGCTTAATCCGGAGCATCTCAAAGGGTTTTATTCTGTGGTACCTTATTTTCTAAAGATGGGAACATAGGACTGTAGGGCACCTCCCTGGTCATTGACTCAGTCCCCTGCTATCATGAGATTGCATGCCCATTCTTAATACCTGTCCCAACCAGAAATCTCTACCCACAATGAGAGGCCTCCTATTCCAACAGCCAAATGGAGATTTGTTTGCTTGTTTATCTGCACTGCCTCTGTGTGTGTACATGAAAGAGATCCAGGGAGGTAAAGAAGATGGTCAGGACACCAGAGGCATCTGGGAGTAGCTTTGAGTTTGATTTGTTTCTATTTTATCACCCCTTGAACCTGTAGCAACACTGCAGCGGTTGAGGAAGATCTACCACTCCTCCATCAAACCCCTGGAGCAGTCCTACAGATACAACGAGCTCAGGCAGCATGAGATCACAGGTAAAACTGAGGGGCAGTAGGGATGCATCGGGCACAGCTAGTGTTCTGCTGGGCGTAGGTTCAGAGTACAGACACTGGATCCGTGGAAGACCTCAAGTGTTGAATCTTCCTTTGTAGCAGACAAAGAGATCCAGAGAGTGTTGTTACCTGTGTCCCATGCAGCCCAGGGCAGCGGGTTTCAGTGTGTGGGAATTCTGTGTATGCACGTTGGCTTTTTAGGTCCCTGCATAACATCACCTCAATCAGCGGGAACAATTCCTCCTTTTCCCTGGGGGAGTGCATCAGTGCACTGAGCTGATGAGCCTCAAGAGCCCGGCCCTCCACTGCCAGCAACGTGCACAGTCAGGGGCACCTGTGCCATGTGCATGTGAAACGCTGCCAGATTAGAACCCTCCACTCACCCTGACAGGGGTGCTTTCTGCCCACGCCGCATGGGTGTGAATCACTGCACAAGGCCCAGAGAACCAGCCCTCAAGAAGGCACAGGACAGCTGGCTCACAAGGAGGCTTAGGCTTAGGGTGTCTGAACCCTCTAAGGAGTAATAATTCTGTAACACTCCGTCCTGTTAAGTACCAGACACGGATGGGTGAGCTGCTCCTCCTGCAGCTCTTCTTCTGGGTGCAAGATTTTGGCCTAACTTCTCTTTCCAGGGGAGTGGATGACTCAGGGGGTGTGATGGAACATGGAGCTTTTTAGCTCCAGGTCATTAGCAATGGAAATTCGGCCTAGGCCAGTCGTGATCAAAGGTCGGTCCCCCGATGGCTGTGCCAGGGCCCGCTAGTAATTGCTAAGCCCTAATGGTGCGCTTGGTCCACTCCAAAGAAGGTAAGAACGGCCGCTGCTCCAAGGAGCTTGCAGACTACGCGAGGCCCTTGCAATCTGCGTGACACGGCAGCCGCATGGCTCCATTTCTAATGCATTAGTGTCAACATCACAAAACCCTGTTGGCAGCCTCAGCAGAGCAGCCCAGGCCTGAGGTCCCAATTCAACGGGAAAACTCACATGCTCAAAGTTAGGCACGTGTACCTTGCTGAACTGGGGCCTGGACGGAACCGTGGAGACGAAATGCTCCTCTCTGCTCTAGAGCTGGCCGTACTAGATTGGGGTGAGGCACATCAGTTGGGGTGGGCCGGCGATGCTTGCCCTGCTGCTGCCCATGCTACACCTGCCCTCTGGGCTTTTTACTCATGCTACAAAAAAGATGATTAGCCTCCGAGGATGAGGGGATTACTCCATAGCAGAGTCCTGGAGTTTATCCTTATTGCAAGGAGCTGATCTGTAGCTTACACCCTCCCTGCCTTCCCATCTCTGCTCCCCACAGTTCCACTCATGCACACCCTCAATCCCACTCAAGATGCAAATTCCATTCACCACATTGCAGGTTCCCCCGTTACTATGGTACATCTGCCCCTCCTCCTGGTGCTACCCTCCCCTCACTTGGTTCAGCATTACTCTGCATCCCACACATATCTGCCATTGCAGCTGTTCTCAGCTGAGCTACTATAGCCCAGCAATTTAAATAGCCCATGAGCCATATTTTGCCTTTAGAGATCCAATCAGACATGCCGGTTCCCTCAGAAGCTACATCTTTACGGGCCTGGTAGGACTCTACACCAAGCTCAGCACCTTGTGTCTGCAACATTATTTTTGTATAACTCTATTTTGTGAAGCGATGAAAAGGGTCATCATCCAGCAGGTCCTTCCAGAGCTCCTGCCTCCAAACAGGGCCATGTCTCCTGGTCAGGATCGTCCGTGGCTCACGTAGGCTCTGATTCCCATCCTATTTATTTGGGTGGGCTGGCTGGCTTGTAGGGGATTATGACCCACGCTAAAACCCATGGCAAGCATTCAGCTTCCCATATTTAACCTCACACTTACACACACACGCGCGTGCACACACACACACAGAGCCGCTTGGCAGCATCTCCTTTTTATGCTCTTTGAGGTAGTCTCAGCTGGATCTTTGATATTTCAAAACCACCAGTGCAAAAAAGACCAACCACCAAACACTTCAGTGCATACTCAGTGCTCCGTGGGCTGTAGCAGAAAGTCACACTTCTACCCAACATAACCACATACTAGGAACTCCCTGCATCCATGCCCCATTCCTCCTCCACTCCTACCCCTGAAGCATGGTGGCTCCAATCAGTGACACCATTTCAGCTCCTCCAAAGCTGCTTCCTTTTGCAAGTGCTGCATAAGCCGGTGCTTGTGCTCGGCTCTGATTAATATTTGGGCATTGCAGATGGTTTGCTCTGAGATCGCCTGAACTTTAATAATTCCTAGGGTTACCATTCGTCCGGATTCCCCCGGACATGTCCAGCTTTTTGAGCTAAAAATAGCGTCCGGGGGGAATTTGTAAATGTCCGGACTTCCCCCCGCCCCATGCAGAGCGCGCACGGCTAACAGGGCAGCCGGCTGGATGGTGCCACTTACATGGGGCTCCGACAGCCAGAGAGAGCCCCTCTTTCCCCCTGCAGCTGAGATCACTCCCTCCCTCCCTGCATTCGCAGATCGCCTCTGGCAGTCTGGAGCTCCTCCCCCGCTCCCAAGAGTGCCGGGACGAACGGCTCAGGCCGTTCCTGAGCAAGCTCACAGAGACATTAGGCAAAGGCCAACAACAAGGGGGCCAGGGG